TTCCTGCTGTTTTCTCCTAATTTTCCATCTGCTGAGCACCCCCAGCCCCTTGGCTATAAATTCCCAGTGCCTGTGCTGTCTTAGGAATTAAGCCCAACCTCTCTCCCCAGCTGCATGACCCCATTGTTGTGGTCCCTTTGTCTATTAAGATGGTCCTGAGTAGACTCTGCTTTGTGCTTTAACAACTATCACTGAAAATTCTTTTCTTTAGTAAGTCTGAGGGGACTTCAGAAAGCCCATGGAAAAAGAGAATTTAAGTACGGGTTTATTTTGGTGTGAAAAAATAGTGAAATCCATGCCTAGTGTACGGATAGATGCATTTTTCATGAACTTGTTGAAGACCCCTGATACACTGACCTTTTCAGATTCTTAAATAACAGAAAATAAGTAAATAAAAATAATGGAAGACTTGAAATTCTTTTAAAGGCTAACTACAATGTGCTCTCCTGAATTGGATCTTGGAAGCGAGAAAAGGTTATCTGTGGAAGCGCTGGCGAGAGTCAAGTGAAGTCTGGAGTTGGGAAACAGCAGCGTATCGGTGGTCATCTCTGGGTTGTGACATGCGTGGCACGCTTGCGTAAGATGTTCACAGCAGGGCAAACTGGGTGAGAGGAGTATGGGAACTATCTGCAGCTCTTTGCTACTTGTATTCAAATCTAAAATTATTTCGAAATAAGAAGTTTATTAAAAAAAATAAATAAAGCACAGAAGGAAATGCACCCCAGTGTCCAGAGAGGGTGTCTCTGGGTAAGAGGATTATCATCGTCATCAGTGCCTGCATTACTTTCATCTTTAGTTGTTCATTTATTTCTTCTTCTTTTTACTTTTTAGCTTGCCAGAGGGCATGTGAGCTTGCTGGAGAGAAAGAGAAAGACAGAGAGGGAAAGAAAGCAGAAGAAAGCAGCCCCAGGGGCATGGTCCCGCTTCAATCCCTTCTCCATTTTTCTATCCTGTCAGGATTGGAGGCACACACACTCACATGCCTAGTGTCATTTTTCAAGCTTTCAAGGCTGGGATATGAACTGTGCAGTCAATCATGTGGGATATGTCTCCCTTAACCACGAGACCACAGGACCGGCCTTGACTTTCGTTTTTAATATATTACCAAATGGGGGCCAGTGAGTGGCCTGGTGGCCAAGGGGCTGGACTCCCACATGGTCAACCACAGTTCAAATGCCAGACCTGAAGGCTTGAAAATCATGCCAGTGCATGTGTGTGGGTGCCCAAAATCCTAGGGGTGGGAGGGAAGGTGACTTCTCACTTTTTTCTCACTGTCTCTCTCCAGTGAGAACACACGCCCTATGACAAAAACGCTAGGGGAAAAAATATAATAACAAATATTGAAGAAATACAGGGACTTTAGTAAGTCTGTGGAAAAATGGAATTAAAATAAAGGTTTATCTTGGTGCAAAAAGCCATGAGTAGTTTTTTTTTTTTCATGATTTGCTATTCCCATGAAAGAGCATTCTAAGAGCATTAAGGCTAATGTGATCCTTAATTTCATATTTACAATTACAAAATAAAACAAGCTCTGAAAACGCCACGATTGTTGGCAAACATCTCAGCTACCTGGATGGAAGACAATATATAGCATTTGTCTCACCTCATATGAATAGTCTTGTGTGGAGAGACGTCAATGTGTTTGATTGTGGGGTGTCCCCCCAGACCTTGTCAGGGGTGTTCTGCAATGCATCCTGTGGATGCTCACACTATAGCACTTTTCTTTTTCTTGTTTTAGATTTTTGCTCTAAGGCATGTGTACTTGATAGGGAGAGACCGAGAGAGGGCAAGTGAGAAATCACTCCCCAGAGATGGCCATCTGCTGTCCCTTCCCCTCTTGGCCATATATGCACATGCACCTGGAGTGTTTCTCAGAGTCTGGGACTCGAACCACACAGTCAAGGGGTGGGGGATCCAGGGCCTCAACTATCACACCACATGCTGGCCCACTGTACTGCCTTTCTAAGAGCCATGAGATTCTGAGTTTGGGGATCCACATGACCCTAGTGCATATGGATAGAGGCCTATGAGTATGCCTAACTAACTAACTTCTACGTCCCACCACTCAGTTCTGGAAAGAAAATACTACCCAGACTGTCAAAACCCCACATATAACCCTCAGAGCTGGCATCATGTGATTTCGATGGTCAGCAGTAATGTGTAAGAAACAACCAATCACAGCAGAGGTGAGAAGAATCTAGGGGTTTCAGAGGCCCCATCTGCCACCCCCCCCCAACCTCCTTGCACCCACCTCACCTCTTCAAAAGTGTAGGCCACGACACGCTGCCTGCCTGGGCGTGGGAAGAGGAATTTCACGACCACAGGAGAGTTGACCACGACACCCTTGCTCTGGCAGGAGACCGTAGGCTTCTTGAGGCAGTGGACGGTTACTTGGGCCTGGCCTGGGGGCAAGCCCATGAGAAGCTGTGGGAGACAGGGGTCCCATGACCAGGACAGGAGCCCATCAGAACAGCTGCCTTCAGAGAGGGAAAGGCCAAAACTGCCTCGAGGTCTCAGGAAGCAACCTATGATAGTGACAAGGCCCCAAGCTGGGCTCTGAAGGCCTGAGTACCAAGCTCTACCCTGCACTAACTGGCTAGTGACTTAGCAAATCAGGACTCTCACCCTCTCTGGCCCTCCGTTTTCTCATCCCTGTGCCAGCGAAGCTATTCTCGCCTTGCCTGCATCTCCGTGTATGATAAGGGTGTCTCCACCTCGCCTGCTGTGCCTCACCTCTTCATCTGTAAAATGGGGGTAATACTTCCTCATAGGGTATCTGAGGATTACATGAGATGATTTGCTTAAAGGGCTTAGATCTGTTGCATGTGAACCCTCCAAAAGACGTTGCTGATGCTTTTATGTAACAATATTCATGGAGGACTCTTAGGACTCAGCCCTGGGCTAGGAGAGGAACAAATAGACACCGTCTCTACATGCAGGAAGTTCAGCATTTCTCAGATAATCCCAGAACTGAATGTCAGATTGAAACTAAGAAGTATTTGAGAGTTCTCCAGATGGAAACCGCCCTAGTCAGGGAGACGGGAGAGGCCTGTCCTGAGGATGAGGAGGAATCAGATGGGAACCGGGCAGAGTGCAGGGTGTGGGCAAAGGTCCCAGGAGGGTGCCTGGCCAATACAAGCAATGGGCAGGTAGCCAGTGGGCCTGGGGGGTGGCTCGTGAGAGGCCAGGCAGGCCAGCAGGGCCCTCGGTTTGCAGCCTGTGGAATGGGGCTCAGGAAGACTTTCCCTGACAAACCACCCAGCCATTGGCAGCATTGCTGCATAGGATTCATTTACTACAGAGCTGAGTTCGGAAGAAAGGGGCAGTACCAGGTACCTGAGATAGAGAGACGATGGAAAGCCAAGGTGTAAACAGCAGGCCCAGAGAGACAGAGGAGTGGCTCTGGGTTCAAACCACACTGCCCTGGGCCTGGAGTTCTAACACCCACAGGAGAAACAACTGTGATGGGGGTGGGGGTGGGGGGTGAAAAGATGACGTCCCTCAGAGCAAAAGAGACTACCTCGCTCCACCCGCCAGGAAGTGGGGAAGGAGGGTACAAACTTAAAGCCCTTGTGTGCCCTGCAGGTCTGAAGCATGTGTGTGGACCGCCTGTGTGGTGTAAGACTTCCTGACATAGAAACACACCAGAATAAAGGACGGTGCAACCCTCGGGGGCCCTGACAGGAGTAAATACAGAACAGTCCTCTTAGGACATTCGGCTGATGCAGGGAGCAGAGTGTGTCCACAGAAGAACCAAGTTCCACTGAAACGATCTCGCAAACAGACAAAAAGGACAAATACACAAGGAAATCATCCAGGATGCCCGAGAGCTAGCAAACACACCAGGGTAAGTGCTCCAAGAACTTGGCATAATAGCACCACAGGAAGAAATGACAAGGGAAGTTGGGTTTTTATTTTTGTTTTTGAGATACTTTTGCTATAGGGTGCATGCACTCACTGGAGAGACAGAGACACAGAATACAAGAAATAACCCTCCAGGGTAGATGGCCACACCACAATCCTTTCCCCTCCATTCTCCTCTCAGGATTTTGGGCATGCATGTAAATGTGCCTGGCATGAGTTTTTGATTGTTTTTTTTTTTAATTTATTTTACATTCATTCTCTGAACATCATTATAGCATACAAAATGTGATTTCCCATCCAGAATACACTGCATAGTGGCTTAATCATACATGTTATGACCGACAGATAATTTTCCATTTTCGTTTCATATGTGTGTGTATACATAAGTGTGTGTGTATATATATATATGTGTGTGTGTATGTGTATGTGTGTGTGTATATATACATATAATATACTTCTCCCTATTTCTCACCCTCTGCCATTTTTCACCCGCCTCCCACACTGTCTCTGGTGTCTACAGTTGCTTTCCATTCCTCCCCCCACACACATTTTATTGATTCACAAAGTATTTTAATTAATCTAACTACTTTCAATAGCAAGTTGAGCTGGTATATACGTATCTGTGAACACATGTCTGACTTTAGGTGTGAAGCTCTGAGTAGAATGAATATACTATACAGTAGCACCTAGCTGATGCCATATAGCTTACTGTGGTCATTAAACAGGTATTTTTTAATATGCCTAAATTTTAAGCCACCAAGTCTGGAACATAAACTGTGGTTGACTACTTGGGAGTCCAGAGACATAACAATTACGCCATCTGCTGGTACCCAAAGTAAGGTTTTTGTTTGTGTGTGTGTGTATGTGTTTTTAATGTTAAAGAAATAAAGCCATCATAAAATGACAGGACTCGAGGGATGAGAAAGACAAGTTAGGTTTGAAAATAAACCAAATAATTAAATTTCCATACATGAAAATTACCGATATTAAAATGAAAACCTCAGTGAAGGACTAAACAGACAAGACACTGCTGTAGAAAGAATGAATACAAGAGGCATTTGACAAAACTATCCAGAATTCAGCTAAAAGATATAAAGAGATGAAAAATATGACAAAGCAACTAAAAGTCATATGAGACAGAATGAGAAGGCCCAACATATGTCTAATGGAAATTTAAGGAGTTAAGAATAGAGGAAGTTGGGGCTAGCAGTGACATAGTGGTTAAGGCACTGGATTCTCACATGGTCAACCATGATTCGAGTCCCAGACCCAGTGACTTGAAACTCATGCCAGGTGTGTATGCGTGGATACCCAAAATCTCAAGAGGAGAATGGAGAAGTGATCGTGGCATGGCCATTTCTCCTAGGGGGTGATCTGCCACTTTCCCTCTCTCTCTCTTCTCTCTCTCTCTTTTTCCCTGGTGAACACATGCACCCTATGGCAAAACAAACAAACAACAACAACAACAACAACACTAAAAGAAAAGAAAAGTAGGAGAGAGGCAGTAATTGAAGAGAAAGCAACTAAGAAATTCCCAGAGCTGGTGAAAACATCAATTCTTACTTAAAGAATTATGCTGGCCCAATAATGCTGTTGAGCAGTCAACAGGGGGCAACAGACCCAGGACCCTGGAGGCTGCATCAGAGAATGTTCCCTCTATCCTAAAACTCTTCTCCTTTATCCCTGATGAGTTTAAGCAGGTAGGTGAATAATCTGTTTTGCTTCCAGAAAAATGAAACCGTTCAGGCTGCTTAGGAAACAGACTGTGGGAGTGGAGGTGTCAGGAGAGCCCCTCTAAGTCCCCACAAGAGATAATGGTAACCTGGCCTGGGATGGAGGAGGAAACACAGTGAGAACATACCATGGACCAGAGTCAGTAATGGGGATGAAGGAGAAGAACAGGCCAAGGGCATGGCCCAGATTCCGGGTTGCATACCAGGAAGGATGGACATTTGTGGAACAGGGGACTGCCAGAAAGGGTAGACCTGAAGTTCAGAGGGAAGAGGGGCTACCCTCTGTCAAAATAGGAGAAGGACCACAGGGTGGTGCTGCGTGGGTTGGTGGTAGGACTGGGAGCAGGAAAATGAGGGCCAAGTTCTGTTGGTGGCACTGTCCCTGCTCTGGGGAACAGGTTGTACGTGGAAAGGGAGGTAGGAAGTAGAGGGTGGGGAGCAGCTGGAGGTGTGAGGATGGTAGGGAAGGACTGAAGAAGTTGTGGGAGGTGGAATGAGTTGACCAGAAGGCTGAGGGAAGTTTACCCAGAAAGGGTAAGGGTCCATTTGAGGTGGGAGACTGTGAGTTCCTCGTGGAACCTTGCACTGATGAGTGGGATCAGGGCCATGCTGTCACTAGGCAGAGCAGATAGGCTCCCCAAGGAGCCTGAATAAGGTTGGCTTTGGAATTCGGAGTAATCTGTATTTGCATCCTATAGCAAGGGATTGACCCTGGGGTCCCAGCCCCACATAAGCCCTGTGGGCTGAGAAATGGAGCATAGCTTTTGGGGGTGACTTGGCTGGGCACAAGTCCTGCCCTGCACTTACTAAGGCCCCGTGTGTCAAGCAGGGATCCTGGGAATGCTTCTCTCCAGGGTTGCTGAGAGCCCTGAGTTGAGTAGGGAGCTGCTGTCCTCATTGTTCCTATTGGCTGTGGGATGAGGGGCGGGGCTCCTGAGCAAGAACTGGATTGGGTACATGAGATCAACAGCAGGGCAAGACAACCCTTACCTCCTGAAAGATGTCCTGGTTGGTGTGGAAGCCCCAGGTCTCCAGCACTGCCTAAAAAGAGATGGAGAAGGGGCAGGCATGGGTGGGAAGGTCGGTTTTCAGAAGGAAAATTTGCAAGGATGTGGTACAGTCTCGGGGACAGGACCCTTCCCAAACCTAACCTCCACGTCCCTCCCAAAAGACTTGAGGTGTCTCAAGTATGGTGTGGTGCAGGGATCCCTGACCTGGCTGCAGCCCTGAGTCCTGCACCCTGCTCACACAGGCTGTGGGACCTTGGGCGAGTCTCCTCTAGGGACCTCAGTTTCCTCACTGGGTCAATGATAGGCATGGACTAAAACCCACCCAAGCTTCTCTAGTACCAGGGTTTGGAGCCTCCTCTTACACACTGTGGGAACTGTGAGATCTTGGGCAAGCCACCTCCACCCTCTGGCAAAGTGTAGGTAGCAATGGGCTTCACCTCACAGGCTAAGTGCAACAAAGAGAAATATCACACAGATAGTTATAGCAGCTCACATATATTGCACAGTTACTATGTAAGCTACAGGAGGGGACTTCAAGAATGAATCTCCTTTGGTGCAAGAAGAATATTGAAATCATACACAGAAATGCATGATTTTTTTTTTTGTAACACATTTTCCATGAGCTCTTGGAGTTTTCCACCTCTTTCACTACATCTGTCTGTCTGTCTGCCTACTTACCATAGTACCCACCATACAGGAGGCCCCAGTGAATGCTTCCTCCAATTAGTAGTCCACGCTCCTCGGCCCACCCCCGTTTCCCCTCCTCCCTACACGTGCACACACACCACATGCACACCCAAGTTCCCCGACAGCTGGGCTTCATCCCACTCACCTTGAACTTGTCCCCTGTCAGGCTGAGCACGAGGCGGCCATCCTGAAAGGCAGCCTTAGCCAGGGAGTCGAGGACATGCTCAGAAAACCAGAAGTACAGCATGCGGGAGTCCCCCAGCAGACTGGGTGAGAATGTGGGCAGGGCCAGGTCCTCGGACACGTTCTTGTAGATGAAATGACCCTGGAGAAAGGCAGATGCTGCCTGGAGCCCTCACTGTCCTCTCCTGCCCTGAATGTCCCTGCCCAGCTCAGGAGCCAGCTACGGGAAGACTCAGAGACATCTTGGAAAGCATCCAGCCCAGAGTACAGACGGAGAAACGGAGGAGAAGTTGCACTGTTTCCTCCCAGCTAGTATTTCATCTATTCCACAAATATGAGGGGACTTCACAATGTTCATGGAAAACTGGGATTCAAATATGTTCATTTTGGTTCAAACACTTTTTAAAATCTGTGGATAGTTGTTTCAGAACGTGCATCTTCCAAAACTCTTGAAGATCCCTTATATTTTATGCGTGCCTCAGCCACCATGTAAGGTAGACCAGATGTATGTGGTTCCCGCCCTCACAGGCTGATATCCCAGCAGAGACATCAGTTGGAACAGCTAGTGACCAGGGCTTGCACGTCCCACCCTGGCTGGCTGGCCACCAGCTCCACACCTTCTGGAAGCAGTCTACTGACCAGCTGCCCTGGGAACTGAAACCAGGAAAGAAGTTAGTGCCCAGTTCCCTGCCCATCTCATGCCATAAGCCACCTGCGTGTCAAGAGTGTCCACACATCCCTGAAGTTATCCTCTCATTCACTTTACTGGGAGAGGCTCCATCAGAGAAATGGTTGGCTGTCTCCTAAAATCTGTTTGCCCTCCCCATCCCTCTCAGAGTTCTGTGACACCCAAGTTTTAGCTGGGCTTATGGGTGCCGGGAATAAATTTTGTAGCTTCCTTTGCAGCTAGATATGACCGTGTGCCTAAGTGTAGGCCAAGAGGGTGTGAGCAGAGAGACGTGATGGTCAGGGCGGCAATCTTGGGCCATGGGCCACCTCTGGGGTGGCTGGGCAGCTCAGTGAAGGGGTCTGCAGGCCTGACGCTATGAAGCCACCAAATTCACACTGGACTACATATGCTTGAACCCACATGGAAGGGAAATATACATATATCTTGTTTAAACTGCTATTATTTGGGGTCTACTGTTTCTTTTCTTTCCTTTTCTTTTTGGAGAGGTTTTGCTATAGGGTGCGTCGTACACTCACCAGAAAGACAGAGAGAGACAGAGAGATAGAAAGCGAGAAACTACTCCGGGGAGATGGCCATGCCCTTCTCCTATTCTTCTCTCAGGATCTTGGGCACACACGCACACATGCCCGGCGTGAGTTTAAGCTACTGGGTCTGGGACTCGAACTGCAGTCAGTTACATAGGAGTCCAGCCATGTCGACATAGCCATTACGCCAACTGCTGGTCCCAGGAGGTCTACTTCTTATAGCAATAGAACCTGTATTCTGATTAATAGAGAGGTCAAAGGCTTTGTCAACTCCCCTGGGGGTGCTATGACTCCCCCCAACCACTGCTGTAGAGGATGAGAGAAGCCAAAGAAGCCCTCCACGAAGTAGCTAGTGCTTGCTGGGACCCTTGGAGTGGAGGGCCCTTGTGCCTGAACAGGGGCTCAGACACACTGCTGTGGGCCTGTCCTCCCTGCTGCACCAGGGTGGGCTCTGCAGAGGTGGGACAATGGAACTCTTGGGTACATGGGGTTGAAGCTGTGGAACCCAGAGGCCAGTGCTCAGGCAAGGTCTTAGCCAAGGGGTGTCCAGGGAGGTTGATATTCTCTCTCACTCTCCCACACTCCCACCTTGTGATGGGACTCCAGGTAGGTGGCTGTGATGACGGGTGACCTTGTCAAGGAAATGTCCACATTGATGTCTCCATCAGAGAGGATGTTGGAAAGAGGAAGGTGAGCCTCCAGATGCAGGGACTGCCCACAGGTGCCCCAGCCTCCAGCCCCAGGATTCCCGTCTGTAAAATGGGGTGGCTTTTCATTCCCTCTTTTCTCAGCTCTGTCTCCCTGGGTGGCTTCGCCCTGTGGAGCCCTTCTGCAGACTGGTTCAGAGTGTGGGGTTTTGAGTCGAAGACCCGGGCTGGCACCCCTGCTCTGCTCTATTGATGGGTGACAGGGCAGTGGGCAGCCTCACGAGCACTGCGTCCTCATTGGCCATGAGCATGTCTGCTAGGCCGTGTGAGAATTGAATGAGATAATATGTATAAAAATAGCTGGGCTCAGAACGTGAGTGACCACGATGGGGCGTGTCCCTGAGAAGTTCATGCACTGGATTTGGTTGGGAGGCTCTTAGGAGGAAACTTAATATCTTCATGGGGCTGAAAGGTGGGGACTTTGGGAGGGATTAAGGTCCTACGGGGCCCCCACCATTGACTCCTGCTGGGTTCATAAGGAAAGGGAATGAGATTAGAACACGGAGCCCACAGACAGCCCCTCTGTTCTGCTCTGACCCTCGTGTAATCAGAACTTTGCAAGACCCAGAGGTGGCCCGGGGACCTCAGTCCTGCAAAACCCTCTGTCTTTGTAACTCGCCCAGTCCCAGGTATTTCTGTTAGCAACATGGAAGCAGACTAAGTGATTCTAAGTCTTTTTCTTCCTCATCTTCAAGGAGAAACAGGGAGTCCTCACGGATTTAACCTGCCTGCTCTGAATTCTATAGTTCAGAACCGGGCTCAGCAAACTCTTTCATACAGGCCCGGAGAGTTCACGCTTCAGTTCTGTGGGCCCTCCTGTCTCTCTCGCACTCAGCCCACCCTGCAGCGATAGCACAAAAGCTGCCACAGATGTGCGCCCATGAGTGGGTGTGGCTCTGTTCCAATAAAACTTTATTTATTCATTTATTTATCTTTTGGAAAGGTTTTTGCTATAGGGCACATGAGCTCACCAGAAAGACAGAGAGAGACAGAAAGCGAGAAATCACCCCCCAGGGGGGATGGCCATGGCACAATCCCTTCTCCTCCATTTTCCTCTTGGGATCTTGGGCACGCACGCACACGCGCCTGGCATGAGTTTAAGCCACTGGGTCCAGGACTCGAACCGTGGTAGACTACATGGGAGTTCAGTGACATAGTTTGCAAGACCCAGAGGTGGCCCGGGGACCTCAGTCCTGCAAAACCCTCTGTCTTTGTAACTCGCCCAGTCCCAGGTATTTCTGTTAGCAACATGGAAGCAGACTAAGTGATTCTAAGTCTTTTTCTTCCTCATCTTCAAGGAGAAACAGGGAGTCCTCACGGATTTAACCTGCCTGCTCTGAATTCTATAGTTCAGAACCGGGCTCAGCAAACTCTTTCATACAGGCCCGGAGAGTTCACGCTTCAGTTCTGTGGGCCCTCCTGTCTCTCTCGCACTCAGCCCACCCTGCAGCGATAGCACAAAAGCTGCCACAGATGTGCGCCCATGAGTGGGTGTGGCTCTGTTCCAATAAAACTTTATTTATTCATTTATTTATCTTTTGGAAAGGTTTTTGCTATAGGGCACATGAGCTCACCAGAAAGACAGAGAGAGACAGAAAGCGAGAAATCACCCCCCAGGGGGGATGGCCATGGCACAATCCCTTCTCCTCCATTTTCCTCTTGGGATCTTGGGCACGCACGCACACGCGCCTGGCATGAGTTTAAGCCACTGGGTCCAGGACTCGAACCGTGGTAGACTACATGGGAGTTCAGTGACATAGCCATTACGCTAACTGCTGGTCCCCCATAAAACTCTGTTGTTAAAAGCCAACAGTCAGTGAATTTCGGAACCCCCTCATTCCCTGCCTCCTCCCTCAAGCTTATGTGAAGGGTTGTGTTCTCGGGACCCCCATGGCCACCCAACAGCTTCTGAATTCTGGTGGCTGCTTGGGCCAGTCCAGAGAGCACTTCGCCCTCTCAGCAGCTTCTCCCATGTCCTACTAGCGGCTCCGCCACCAGTGTGGTGTTCCCAGAGGGACAACCAGGGCTCCCAAGCCAGGTGTATGTGGTGATGGGAATGGCGAGCAGGGGAGGAGCGTGCCACTCAGGAAGATGGCAGTGCTCACCTCCTGTGTTGCCGTCTGTGCCACGGGCAGGAGCCTGGGAAGCTGCCATGGACCTGGTGTTGCCTAGAGCCTCCCCTCGCCATGCTCCCATGGTGGCCCAGAGGTCTGCCTTACTCAGGGCTTCATTGTCCTTTCACTGCCCCGTTCCCTGAGTACCTACTGCGTACCTGACACCTCTCTCTGCAGGGACCCAGCATTACATAGATGTGGGAGCAGGGCATGGGCATCGCTACCCGGGTTTGAGCTCTGCTCCTCCACCTCCCAGCTGGAGGGAGGGAGTCCACTTGCCTCCATTAGAGTTCAGGTTAGTGGCACCTCCCTCTGTGGGCAGCTGAGAGGATCCCCTCACTCATGTGCATATTTGCTAGGCAGCGTGTCACCGAGTGATGGCGGGTCCTATCCTGTTAGGACAGGACAGACCTTCCCCTTCTTGTCTGGGTTCCTCCCAGTGCCACGGGGATCACTGGACAGACAAGACCGATTTCTTTTTTTTTTTTTTGGAGAGATTTTCGCTATAGGGCACGTGCGCTCATCAGACAGACAGAGAGAGACATAGAGACAGAAAGTGAGAAATCACCCCCCAGGGTGGATGGTCACGCCGCAATCCCTTCTCCTCCATTCTCCTCTTGGGATCTTGGGCACGCACGCACACATGCCCGGCGTGTTTTAAGCCTCCGGGTCTGGGATGCGAACCGCGGTCGACTACGTGGGAGTCCAGCGACATAGCCATTACGCTAACTGCTGGTTCCTACTTTTTTTTTTTTTTTTTTTTAAGACCAATTTCTGAGCAGTCTCTTTGACGGGGCACAGCCGTGTGGGAGTGTCCCTTAAGGCTGGCAGGAAGGCAAGAGACTCTGGGCAGGGCAGGGAGTTCCGATCTACACATGGTTTTGTCCTTCCTGTCTCCACCCAGTGTTTACTGCTGCTTGGAAGGTAGTTGACCCTGTGCTTGGGGTTCAGGGTATGGGGTGGTGACAGCAGTTACAGTAGTAGGGGCCAATGAAAGGCCAGGTATGGTCTTAAGTGTTTTACTGCATGGTTTTCCCCACTCAATTCTCAAGTCACCCTTTGGGGTGGGGGCCATTATTACCCCCATTTTACTGATGAGAAGACTGAGGCTCAGCGGGGTTATATGATTTGCCTAAGGTCACTCAGCTTGTGAAGCTGCAGCCCTGAAGGGAAACAACTTGCCATAGCCTGACCATAGCTGGTCACCGAAGAGTCAGAGCCAGACAAGGGTCTTGAGGCCCAGACAGGGAAGTGGCTGTCCCCAGGTGTGTGGTAAGCACTGGCGGCCTCCTGGCTCCTCCCACTGCCTTCCTAGTGGTCAGTGACAGACGTGCACTCACCAGCCCTCCTCTGGACAAAGTCGGCCATGATGTTGGAGAGGACGTTGATCTCCTTGCAGACCTGGGGCAGACAGGGCAGGCGGCTCATCAGGTAGGAAGGGGACCAGGGGAGGGCGGGGTGGTGCCTTTCTCCAGCTGCATGGGGGCGGCAGGCCCAGGAAGGGGTACAGAGGTCTAACATGCCGGGGGAGGGGAGGGGAGTAGAGGGGAGGGCGGGGTGGTGCCTTTCTCCAGCTGCATGGGGGCGGCAGGCCCAGGAAGGGGTACAGAGGTCTAACATGCCGGGGGAGGGGAGGGGAG